AAAAACCTACTGAACAAAACCTCGTGATGCCAGCCTTGGAGATCAGACCGGTGATGTGTGTGTGTGGAGCTTTCATTCTGCATTTCGCCTCAAAGTCCTCACCTCCAGTCCAAAGCCTCTTGAGCTCTCATGCGTCTGTCTGCTACCCTGCTCTTGATTGTAGCTCCCCTGCATCGTTGTGTCGACGCGGTGGTCCTGATTCCTGCGACGACGGAGAACCCATTTTTGCGTTCGGCTCCTTCTGCTGCTGCTGATGCACGCAACGACGGCCGATCCCTGCGAGAGCTAAATTCAGCGATCGGTTTCGGCGGGGAAATGTCGAAGTGGGCATCCGAGGTCGGAGGACGTTTCAGGGCGACAACAAGCGCTTCAGAGAGCGTCGCATCAAAGAACGCCGAAGTGGGAGCAGTTCTTAATCATAACCCCGTTGGGGCGAATATTAAAGACCTCGAAGACGTTATGAATGCTGGGAAAGACAAGTAACCAAGAGGCGCGTCCTGGCGAGTAAGTGTCGTTCATCCTTCGTCATCACTCAAGCAACTCGCTTCCATGGTGACGAGGTGATCAAGGAGCTACTGCAATGGGCGAGGTGCACGGAAATTACTACGTACGTAGCTTATAGAAGATTGCACAAGCTTAAGAGACTGGTAATACAAGACGGTGATACTTGATGCGTTACAGGAGATGGATGAACAATTGTAGAGTCCCATCGTTCGCGTTCCTTCTTTCACTCGTATATGACCTGCTTGAGTTTGTGCATTTACTATTCCTATTGCCGTTCTGCCTTTAGAATGTCGGTTGTACTCTAAGTCTAGCATTTGGTGTCGAGTGCAGCATGTTGTGTGGTGCAGGAAGTGAATCGACGTGGATGTTCACTACCGTCAACACTTTTCGCTTGACAGCAAGAAGTGTCGACGTCGTCATAACTGCTAAAGAAAGTTTAACACGCAAGTAAACACTTGTACTCTGCAGGAGACTACAAGGCGCTCGATGGGTCAAGCGTCGGCCTGTTGGTAGGTAACGCGGATGGATCACTTGACTGAATGATCATATCGATCGTTACGAATACGATGAGTGCAACTGGTTGATGCTGGTTGACTCATTGGTGTTCGCATTGCTGTTTGCTGCAATCAGAGATCGCGCAAGGGGAACTAGCTACAGATGATAAGTAATATGAAGGACTTAATAGCCAGCGTGACGATGCAGTACTTCAATGTGAGACAGGCTACAACTTTGGCACTGACTCGATAAGGAAATTCACACGCTAGCATAGGTAACTATGGAAGTTGTTTTAAGTTACTGGCCAGGGCTGTGCTGGGCGTAGCCAAGCTTTAATGCGTCAGACTTCACGAACTCCAGCACGACCATTGATGATCTTGAAAGAGGGAGTGCTGGATGGAAGTGTAACATGCTGCTACACTTCTGGGTGAAGACGCATTTCATCCGGCAAACAGTACCAAAACTAGCGACTATTTTATTCATTTAATGTATGGTAGAGCGTGCAAATCCGTCTCACTACATATCCCATATTCTAACTGAGACGCGCGAACCAGCGTGCATAGACGAGTAATGAAGTTGGTGAGTTGCCTGCTACTGTCGTAGAAGATCATGACAGGCGTATGGTCATTCTAGCTAATGGATGAACTTGTGCACAGCAGTTGCTGACCGAGCACTTGGATGTTTACACAAGCGATCGCACAACTGTACTCTTATGCTTGTTACTGTTGCATCAAATCCTTCTATCGACTCATGTAATTCCTCTTTTTTCGCTTTTCAGATAGCGCTACAGTCACGACAGCGTAAGGTAACGATATACTTCGACAAGAACGAGTAAGACGAGCTAAATAATGCCCGTCACATGTCGCTTCTCACCGCCTGTACGTCGATGATACCAACCATCACGGCAATCCTAGCAATGACCACGAAAAACATATTGTGGCTTCTTTGCATCCCAAGATGCGATGGTGACGACGCCACGCAGTCACACAGAATAGAGATGGTGTTGTTGCCGATGCTAATACAAAAGCCACCACCTGCTCAGCAACAAGATTGTAGCGATGAGAATGACGAACCTTTTTGCATTTTGCTGTGTGCATGGATCACTTTTTCTTTTCTAACAAGAGTACATGTCAGTCACTTAGTCTCCTTACAACGCGAGTATGTTTCACCAAGCAGGGCTTACACATTCGTGCCTATGTAATGGACTGCCTACGTATACTGCGTTACGTCGAGCCGCCACGCCATATCGCTTGTAACTGGACACACTGAAGCCCAGCCAGTACAGATCCGTCCGAATTCATTGCCAGACTGGATGCTTCTTCGAGAGGCCGAGCTCGGTGGTACCAGGGTTTCTGTGTGCCACCAACGAGACTTGAGCGTCAAACATTGTTTGAACGACCTTGGGTTAGTCGTAGCAAGGAATGGGCAATCAGTTGATTCGAGCCGTTGATGCTTGCCAAGGCACCCGATGGTCCCATCATTCTGTTCGTTGCGTAGTGATGCAGTCGCAAAAGCTGAGGTGCGTTCCTCAGCAAACGTATATGTCTAGACCATCTGAGCTTCTGAGGATAGATGTCCACATCGATGATTAGACGAAGTCACGTGCTTCTGGAAGCAGTTTGGACGAGTGAATATACAGGCACGGCTCCATCAAGTTCCTTCGCTCCAATGCAAGTCAAACGACGTCTAAAAGCTGTCCAAATTCCTTAAACGGTCGACCCATGTACGTTTTTCTTACACAATACCTCAATAAGGACAATCGAACACATCCAATAAATCGTGTGTCGAATGAGCTATGAAGAGTCACGCAATTGCATTATTGCAAGCCCGATGTGTGAAACTGTAAGTGACAGTGCGCGAAGTGAATGCCGAGTTTTACAAATCGTACTTTCCGGCTGTCTGTGTGTCTGTAAAATAACGCTAGCTGTAAATTACACGTAGCACTGAGTGCGATCAAGCCTCCTCATCCTCGTAGGTTGACATGCATTGCAGAACTCACTCTTTTTAAAGGGTCACCCATGTGCGATAGCATGATAATGTAAATTACAACACACACCAATGCTCACACATGATCGGCTTAATAATGACCAAGGGCGGAGAGGGCTAACAAACAAACACTCGACACTTAGTGCATCGACAATACCGCACTTCCGCCAGTCAGTGTGTGTAAATAGTTGTCATCTGATGCACTTGGCACACTGAAATAACAGGAATACTAAAGTCGAACTTCCTTGCTCGGATGAAGAGATAGCTCCCTAAATTTTAATCTCTCATATTTCTCAATGAATTATATGCCGTCACCAAGGGATGTTAGGTAAAAGTCCCTCTTGATAACATGATACTTTTTTCCCGCGTTAAAAACGCTAAAAACAGGGTCTTATTTTTAACAGACTTTTACCAATAGTTATCGATTGAGATTGAATGATTTCACTACACCTTTTTGCTGCATTCATCACAACGTTGTATGCCACATTACATGCCACAATTGTAACGGGGCACCCTGAAGCTTGTACTGGTGACAGTACAAGCTACTTATTCTGATGACAGAATAAGGCGGTGCCTCGGAACTTCACGTACACTCGTACGTGCAGAGGAAGACGGTAAGAAGAAGCGAAAGCTTAGTTTAAGTAAAAAGTAGAACTGTATTCAGCATAGTTAATGTCTGTTAATAAATCACTATTTATCTTCATCTAACTATGTCTAATTACAAATGTGTAGATCAGTTATCTGCTCACCACTCATTGCGTGCGTCTGTCGTGGCGCGTCTTCGTTGGTTGATATAATGGCATATATTAACCAATTAGGAACTACTCGTAAGTGCTGCAGAATATTTGTCCTTATGACAATATTCTGAGAATATAACTCTTATAGTTATATTCTGTTAACAGTTTCTTAAAAATTGTTATGTAACGATTCACCCCGTTACATCACCCCCCCCTTAACCATCAGTCACTTTAGTGACTGATTGACTAAATGGATACTCGTCCTAAATCATTTAGGACAGGGTTTGCACTTGTTGGTCCGAGTCCACTTTCCAACATTTCATCGCATGGTTAACAAGCCCATGCGATGCGCGAGCAAGGCCGCCGAGAGCGCGTCCGCACGTCTCTGTCTGGACGTCGAAGCAGAAACCACAGCAACTGATGTCTCATCGGTTGCTGAAGCGACTCAGCCTGTGTCACTTGGTGATGCAGGCGCTGGTCATGAAGACACTCATGTCTTCACAGAGTATGAGCTCGGAGTCTCATACTCTCCTGATACAGAAGACGGATCCGTATCGACGGCGATCGATCCAAGCCGCCTGCCAAGCTTGGCATAGATGATGCTATGTGTCGTAGCATCTTTGGTTCATCTGACGAATCAGATGAACCATCGCCGAAGCGAAGGCGCTCGAGGTCGCGAGACTCGGGCGCTAATAGTGGTGTCGGTTCTCCTATGGACACCACTTCACATCGAGGTGCCAGTCCTTCTGTCGGCACGTCGCAGGAAGAGCGGGACCGCAATGTCTTGCGTCTCGCTCCCGAGAAGAAGGCATGGATGCCTCCAAAATCTGTCATGGATCACTTGTCGGCGACGACGAGTGATCGTTATCGAACACGGTTGTTCATTCGTCAAGGATCCATCACCTTGACCCCAGCGCGAAAAACTATCGCGCTGAGAATGAATTTATCATCGATGCTTTCTTTAGACATCGATGGTACAGTGGGAATCACAAGCGTGATGGTCCCTCACTACTTCAAGCGTGGAGCGCCTACATCCATAACCTTGAGGATGTAGGTCGTGACGTTTGGAACGACAAACTTATCAAAGCTCGTGAAAAGTTTGAAAAGCGAACCCCGACAGGTGCACGCTACAAGCTGCATCGTCTGTCAAGGGAGAAAGGATTACCCTGCCTCTCTTGGGGAGACTCGTGCCCATGTTGTGTGAACAACTCTGCACGAGCACCTAAGGAGGCTTACCTCCCTAATAGCCCGTGGTGGCGCTTACGTATCTCTAGTGAGATGTACGAAGGTATTGACAACCTGAAGTCCCTTTACGACCGTGCCGGGAAGACTTTCTTTGGCGGTCCTTCTGCGGCACAGGATGTGCCGCGTCGTACTGCTCAACCAGACCCAGTACGTCAACCATCAGTTGGGAGCGGGGCTCCCAAGTATCCCAGGACGGAGGATAGCCGCGCCACCGGACGAGATAACTCGTCCGACGTCCGTTCACGTCGCGGTGGTTCAACAGCTGCTCAACCAGATAGCGCTGGCCACCGCGAGAGTCCTCTAATGGAGGTGGAGGAGGAGGGAAGACGCTCTCCACACAATCGTGGGGATCCGTGTGTTCCCGAGAGCTTCTTTGATCGCGTAACGCAAGGGTTACGCGGCGATCTCGAACATGAGCGGAATAGGCGTCTTCAACTGGCGGACACTGTCTTGAAGCATCGAGCTGAGTTTGCCTTTGCTCAGCTCGAGATCAAAAGAGCTCTGACATCTCTTCGTGACGAGCTAAGGGTAGCTCGTGGGATTGTTGATCGGTCTCGGGATGAGATAGCTGCTCTTCAGACCCTTGTTGATGCCCACCATCGGGAGCACAAGGCTCTCTGCGAGATGCTTGAGCGCAAGGGCGTTCTTCATCGGAAGAAGCAGCGTACTGATGGTACGACTTAAGCCGACCAACGTAAAACGTGGGATGCGTTCGCATCTTACGTGGCAACTCGATCGTGTATGCATTGCCTAGGCGGTGCAAGACACGAAATGGGCCGATGTACTTGGGTAGAAGTTTACTGCTACCCAAGTTAGTCACTACATGCTTTGGTAGATTAACCGTAGACAGTAGGACTAAGTCACCTTTATTAAATAAAAGAGTGTTTGCCCATCCATTCTTGTCAGCGTTTTGCTTTTGCTTATCCACCGCTTTGGCGATGGAGTCTTGCACAAAACGGACTACCGTTTCACGAGCCAGTATGAAATCATCTGATGACTCGTTAGCTTCAGTGCGCTGTGAGTGCACTGCAGCAAAATCAACCTTTTCTTCAGTGAGGGCTTCCGCACTCTCACTGGCATCATCTTCTTCGATATCGATGTTATCGATATCGGCATCAAACGCAATGACCTCTTCGTCAGAGCGTGATGGGCGTGAACCAAATCGGTTTTTGCTCGCGCGAGTCCCTCCCCCCCTTAAGCCAGAGCTACACTCTAGTAAGGTGGGTACACGCGGATGGCGCAAGCCATTCACGTAAAACGGTGTATGTGTCGTGGACGCATGCACCGAGTTGTTGATGGCAAACTCTACCATTGGCAAAAACTCACTCCAACTCTTAAAGGAGTGTACGTATCCTCGAAGTATATCTTCAAGGACACAATTGGCACGTTCCGTCTGACCATCTGACTCTGGATGATCAGATGTTGACATCTTCAAGCGCGTTCCGAGTGATTTGAACACGGAACGCCAGAAATCAGCAGTGAATCGTGGATCTCTGTCTGATACGAGTTCACGGGGCAACCCATGAAGTCGGAATATGGTGTCAATAAAGACACAAGCACATCCACTTGCCGTGATTGACTCTGGTACAGCCACTAGGTGTACCATTTTGCTGAATCTGTCAACAAACACGAGAATACCCGTATTCCCGCGTGCGTCTTTGGGTAACCCGAAGACGAAATCCATTGAGATGGATTCCCAGCACTCAGCCGGAACCGGTAGAGGCTGTAAAGGTGCACGCAGTGAAGGACTTGACTTCACTCGTTGACAGACTTCGCATGCGCGAACATACTTTCGCACAAACTGATACTGGCGGGGCCAGTAAAAGTCTCGACTCACCGTGAGATACGTTTTCTCCCGGCCACGATGTCCTCCTACAGGAGCATCGTGATACTCGAACATGATCCACAAACGCAGATCAGTATCATCTGGAATGACAACACGTGGTGTGTCACCAGAAACGGCTGTATAATACAGTAAACCGTTACGAGTAGTGTATCGATCTGATGCAGATCGATACGCAGACGACAATCGTTTTAACGATTCTCGAGATGGCTGTGAGAGATGTGACAACAACTTCACAATCTCACCATCTTGGGCGTATGCCCGCCTCACATCATCATACAACGTTGTAGATGGGACTGAGGACGTCATAACCGCAACAGTGACTGTCTCACTGTTGGGTTTCACGACTGGTTCAAAGTCGGGACGACGTGAGAGTGCATCAGCGACGACATTAAGTCGTCCTGGTTTGTACTCGACCGTAAAGTTGTATTCCGCAAAGAATGACAACCACCGCGCCATTCGTTGTGAAAGGTGCGGGCTGTTCACTGCCGTGCGTAATGACGCATGGTCAGTGCAAACAATGAAGGGTCTATCTCCTAAGAGATAGACTCTGAACTTCGCGAGTGCATACTTCATGGCAAGGAGTTCCTTGTCATGCACTGGATAGTTCCGCTCAGCTGGTTGCAGTTGACGCGACCGATAGCAGACGACGCGTTCAACGCCTTCAAGATCGTACTGCATTAATGCACAGCCGATTGCAAAATCGCTGGCATCACAGACCACATGAAATGGCCTGTCCTGATCGGCTATTGCTAGGACTGGGGATTGTATCAAGCTCTGCTTGATACCATCAAAGGAGCGCTGACATTCAGCGTTCCATAACCACCTCTCGTTCTTTTTCAACAACGATAGAGGTGTACAGTCATCTCGGCGTAATTGCGTGAATACTTATGCAAATACGCCGCTAGCCCAAGGAATTTTCGAAGGCCTTTGACATCAACCGGCACAGGCCAGTCGGTGATCGCCTTGATCTTTTCGGGATCAGGACGTACTCCGTTCTTACCAACGATGCACCCAAGAAGTGGTATTTCGCTTGCGGCAAATATACACTTCTTGAGGTTTGCATACAATTGATGCTTTCGCATGATTGTAAGAACCTGTCGGACGTAGTACCTGTGAACCTCAACGTCCGACTTTCCATCCATAGCTCGACTATGGATGAATACGTCATCGAAATAACTCGGCGCGAACTCGCGTACTGGTCTCAACAGATGTGATACACATCTGTTGAACGTGGCAGGGGCATTACTAAGCCCTTGTGGCATTACTAACCATTCCCAGAGCATGCCGCTAGGCGTGCTCACTGCGGTATAGGGTATATCCCGTTCCCGCATAAGGATTTGATAGAAGCCATCCATCAAATTCATGGACGAAAAGATGGTACTCTTTGACATGCCATCAATGATTACGTCCTTCCTTGGTATCGGCGTCTGAGCCGGTACCGTTGCAGCGTTCAATTTGTTGAACGCGTGCACTATCCGCCACCCTCCTGTTGCTTTTCGCACACAGAAGATCGGAGAGCTATGTGGGGAAGTTGATTCCCTCACATGGCCCGTAGCTAAACGATCGGCAAAGAACTTGTCGATCGCAAGTACTTGTTCACGAGGCAGTGGCCACTGCTTCATGGCACAGTACTTCGAGCCTGGTTTAAGCTCGACCTCGTGTCGAATACCTTTATCCTTCGGTAATTCGAACGGAACAGTTTCAGGGAATACATCCTTGAATTCAACCAAATCTTCATAGAGAGGATTTGTCTTGAGCGATTCCCACGATTGGGAGTCATATCGCTCAACTCGTGTCTTTTCATCTAGGACACTCTCGTCCATAGATGAACTACTGAGAACTCTCTCGTTCTCAGTAAACACTGTTGCTGACCTTATGTCGGCTACACACTCGTCGTCAGCGACGAGTAAGCAGATCTGCTTGACTTTGCCACTACGCAGATCACGCAAGAACCTTTTATGTTCGAGCGTTGGCAACTGAGTGATCTCCGAAGTTAACTTCGGAGGCGCAATCAGATCAAGTGTATAAGCACCTACACTTGATCCGTTATTGACTATGACATTCAATGTCTCTGTCATTTCCTGGGGACTTATTCCCTCAGGCCTCGAAGGACTTATTCCTTCGGCTTCCCGGGGACTTATTCCCGCGGGTTTCGGGGAACTTATTTCCGCTGTATTTTTAATCTTGGGACTTATTCCCTTTACTTCCTCTAGCTGGGATTGCGCAACCACAGCGAGATCCTCTACGAAAGACTCTCCAGTCGATCTAGGATTATCGTTTCGCTTAACCTGAGCGATCGATTGTTTCTCTTCTGGATGTTCTCCGCTAGGGATACATCTTTGTCCCGGTACACTCGACTTATTCGAGTGGTGGACCTTCGGCATGTGTTTCCTCATAGCCGCCGGAACTTTGCTCCGAAGTGTAACTGTTTGTTACACTAAGGTTTTGTGCAGTCGTACTAACGACCGTACCACAAGTGAGGCCATCGCACTCACTCGTAGTACATCCACACGCTTGTGGACGCTCCAAAACGTTCATCAGATGGCTATCTGATGAACAAGCGGCAGGCATCGTTACTGTTCGATGTTGCCAGTTTACCCGTGGTTCGTACCTCCTGAGCCACGGTATTCCAAGGATGACATCAAATTTGTCATCCAAATCCAATACGATAAAGTCATCGTCATATTGGGTATCTTCTAGCGTATAGTGGATCTTCACTATATGCTTCATGAAGGTTACGGATGCGCCTGTCGCAAGACGTACCGTCATCCTCGTAGGAAGTGTGTCACATTCACTGAATTTAAAGTGACCATCTTCTAGCGATTGGCGTTGCAGAAAATTGTTGGACGCCCCACAATCGACTAGAGCTCGAAGGGACAACTTATTCGTCACTTCGAGTTTCAAGGCAATGAGTGAGACCTCATTACCTAGAGCAGCAACGCACAACGTCTGTGTGTCGGGAGCAACCTTCATCAAGAGGCCTACAAATTCTCTTGACGTTGCTGGACCAGTAGGGTGCTCCGCACCTACTGATCCTGTCCGTTTTTTGATGGTCCATCCCGTTGTTGCGTCTTTGCACCAACAGCGGACCCTCGTCTCTGCCCCTTTCTCATGGGTGGACAGTCACTACGCCCAGTGTCGCGAGACACTGGACGAGGGGCACTACACTCGTAAGCGTAGTGTCCTGTCTTTTGACATCTATTGCATTTCTGCAACTTCTTGTAGTCTGTAGAGCGAGCCTTCTCGCTCTCTTCATACCAGAGTTCCATCGGCTCTGGACCTCCGTTGTCATATCGTCTCGGTTGACGATATGATGTCGAGCTGGCGCGAGCCTGTCTCAGACTGAAGTCTTCCTGCTCCGCAATGGAAATGGCTTGTTCTAGTGAATCTAGTTCAAGCCGGAACAGGTGAGTCTTGACGGGGCCATCCGCAAGACCCTGCATGAACACCGAAACCAACGTGTGTTCATCCACCGGATTGGAACTTATACAACTCGTGAGATGTCGTATATGTTGACCGTAAGCGTGCACATCACGCTTACCCTGCTTGAGCTTCAAGAGTTCGGTTCGAGCTCTGAACTCAGCTCTAGGCGGTTCAAACGTTTGTCTGAGCCGCGACTTGAAGACTTCCAACGACCCAAACGCATATGGGTCGTGCAACTTGAGCCCCAGTGCCCAAGTCTTGGCACGTCCTGCCAGATTTGACTGGGCAAATGCAGCTTGCATATCCCCGTCGTCGATGCGACGCGCCCTTATGGCGTCATCCAATTCGACGAACCATCTTAAGAGGGAGTCCTCTTCGACTCCCCTATACTTGGAGATGTCAATCTTCAAGGTCTCGGGTCGACGCGAGTGCATCGACCCATAGCAGCAGCCTGCTGCTGTCTCAACAGTTCAAACTGTTGAGCACCCTGTTCTCTCAACAACTCTGCTTGTTGAGAACCTTGTTGGTGGAGCAAGGCTACTTTCTCACGTTCAGCGTCAAGTCCATTTTGAATGAACTTGGCGATAGTAGCATGTTGGGGCATCTCTATTGAGAGCCTCTAGCATGACGCTAACAGCATGGATGCCCATGGTCGAACCCATCCGCTCAACCGCATCCCATTCGACATCGCTCAAATGGGAGTAGCCGGCACGCGTAGCGTGAAAGCTTTGATCATCTTCATCATCCGACATATTCATGTTAGATGTGAACGTGGTCCTTGGACGGACTACGAAGTGCTACCAGGTGTAACGGGGCACCCTGAAGCTTGTACTGGTAACAGTACAAGCTACTTATTCTGAAGACAGAATAAGGCGATGCCTCGGAACTTCACGTACACTCTTACGTGCAGAGGAAGACGGTAAGAAGAAGCGAAAGCTTAGTTTAAGTAAAAAGTAGAACTGTATTCAGCATAGTTAATGTCTGTTAATAAATCACTATTTATCTTCATCAAACTATGTCTAATTACAAATGTGTAGATCAGTTATCTTCTCACCACTCATTGCGTGCGTCTGTCGTGGCGCGTCTTCGTCGGTTGATATAATGGCCTATATCAACCAATTAGGAACTACTCGTAAGTGCTGCAGAATATTTGTCCTTATGACAATATTCTGAGAATATAACTCTTATAGTTATATTAACAATTTCTTATAAATTGTTATGTAACGATTCACCCCGTTACAGTTAATGTCCGTTAATAAATCACTATCTATCTTCATCTAACTATGTCTGAATACAAATGTGCAAATCAGCTATCTGCTCACCACTCATTGCGTGCGTCTGTCGTGGCGCGTCTTCGTTGGTTGATATAATGGCCTATATCAACCAATTAGGAACTACTCGTAAGTGCTGCAGAACGTTTGTCCTTATGACAATATTCTGAGAAAATATCGCTTATAGTTGAATTCTATTAACAATTTCTTTAAATTGTTATGTAACGATTCACCCCGTTACAAGCTATCAACATAACTACAGTATTTATCAAACAATATTGATCTACTTTGTCTTATGACGACAACCTGCTCACAACTCATTGCGCGCGTCTAGCAGCGATTGGTAGTAACCTTAGTTGATTTGTTTTTATCAACCAATCTTTGAGCAGCGCATGATTACAATCCTACTAAGGATATAATATTCCTTCAATGTTATCCATCTCAGATAACATTGGTAGGAAATCATCACGCTGGACAATCTCTCTATTGACACCGTTTGGTGTCAGCATCATGTAATGGGCTACACCGTTACAGGTGGCCTATTCTACTAGCATCACTAGGTAAGCTACCTTTTACAGACCAAATTAGGCTATTACATTGCTACGGGACGTCAAGCCACGATGGCCGTGACAGTGGTAGAATATAGGATAAAAAGGGTTGTATAACTGTCTGACCTGTAAAGAAAGTGGGATGCGTACATCCAGAAAAGAGACATACAAAGTAATCGTCTGAATGCGGGCATTTTACAAAAACGACCGGGCATTACGAATCCCCAAATTTTTGGCATGTCGACAGAGATGTCCCTTCTTGATGTCAAAGACCTTACAAGGTACGACACGTCAGAGCCGCGGTATTCGAGGCCGAAAACTACTGTACTTTTTGAAACAAAAGCCCAGTCGTGCCTTCTTTCTATCCATATGGTAAATAGATCCGGACTCCTAAATGCTGAAGATTTGTTTGAGACGAGCTTGGATTGAACCTCATTTTATTTTGCAGAGAATTTAGGTTAGAGGTTTGAGTCAATAAAACCTTGAATAAACCCCGCTAAACCTCGCTAAACCTCAACTGTTAATATGTATGTACATCTCACTCAAGATCGTCATCCGAACAGCCGACATCCGAAAGGTCGGATCCGAAATCGCTTTGTGCGAGCACACGGTAGTTTGTTTTCATGTAGACTAGCTTATCGACCGACAAAGGGCGCCATTATCATATATTCGAGGCAATTCTGTGGTTCTTGCCATTACGAATGACGGACCTATTGATGCCTGGGCGACGTTAGTTACAAAAAACCTCATTAAACTTCAGAAAGTTCTCGAACTGGAAGCTAAGGGTTGAGAATTAAACCGTAAAAACCTACTGAACAAAACCTCGTGATGCCAGCCTTGGAGATCAGACCGGTGATGTGTGTGTGTGGAGCTTTCATTCTGCATTTCGCCTCAAAGTCCTCACCTCCAGTCCAAAGCCTCTTGAGCTCTCATGCGTCTGTCTGCTACCCTGCTCTTGATTGTAGCTCCCCTGCATCGTTGTGTCGACGCGGTGGTCCTGATTCCTGCGACGACGGAGAACCCATTTTTGCGTTCGGCTCCTTCTGCTGCTGCTGATGCACGCAACGACGGCCGATCCCTGCGAGAGCTAAATTCAGCGATCGGTTTCGGCGGGGAAATGTCGAAGTGGGCATCCGAGGTCGGAGGACGTTTCAGGGCGACAACAAGCGCTTCAGAGAGCGTCGCATCAAAGAACGCCGAAGTGGGAGCAGTTCTTAATCATAACCCCGTTGGGGCGAATATTAAAGACCTCGAAGACGTTATGAATGCTGGGAAAGACAAGTAACCAAGAGGCGCGTCCTGGCGAGTAAGTGTCGTTCATCCTTCGTCATCACTCAAGCAACTCGCTTCCATGGTGACGAGGTGATCAAGGAGCTACTGCAATGGGCGAGGTGCACGGAAATTACTACGTACGTAGCTTATAGAAGATTGCACAAGCTTAAGAGACTGGTAATACAAGACGGTGATACTTGATGCGTTACAGGAGATGGATGAACAATTGTAGAGTCCCATCGTTCGCGTTCCTTCTTTCACTCGTATATGACCTGCTTGAGTTTGTGCATTTACTATTCCTATTGCCGTTCTGCCTTTAGAATGTCGGTTGTACTCTAAGTCTAGCATTTGGTGTCGAGTGCAGCATGTTGTGTGGTGCAGGAAGTGAATCGACGTGGATGTTCACTACCGTCAACACTTTTCGCTTGACAGCAAGAAGTGTCGACGTCGTCATAACTGCTAAAGAAAGTTTAACACGCAAGTAAACACTTGTACTCTGCAGGAGACTACAAGGCGCTCGATGGGTCAAGCGTCGGCCTGTTGGTAGGTAACGCGGATGGATCACTTGACTGAATGATCATATCGATCGTTACGAATACGATGTGTGCAACTGGTTGATGCTGGTTGACTCATTGGTGTTCGCATTGCTGTTTGCTGCAATCAGAGATCGCGCAAGGGGAACTAGCTACAGATGATAAGTAATATGAAGGACTTAATAGCCAGCGTGACGATGCAGTACTTCAATGTGAGACAGGCTACAACTTTGGCACTGACTCGATAAGGAAATTCACACGCTAGCATAGGTAACTATGGAAGTTGTTTTAAGGTTCCGGCCAGGGCTGCGCTGGGCGTAGCCAAGCTTTAATGCGTCAGACTTCACGAACTCCAGCACGACCATTGATGATCTTGAAAGAGGGAGTGCTGGATGGAAGTGGAACATGCTGCTACACTTCTGGGTGAAGACGCATTTCATCCGGCAAACAGTACCAAAACTAGCGACTATTTTATTCATTTAATGTATGGTAGAGCGTGCAAATCCGTCTCACTACATATCGCATATTCTAACTGTGACGCGTGAACCAGCGTGCATAGACGAGTAATGAAGTTGGTGAGTTGCCTGCTACTGTCGTAGAAGATCATGACAGGCGTATGGTCATTCTAGCTAATGGATGAACTTGTGCACAGCAGTTGCTGACCAAGCACTTGGATGTTTACACAAGCGATCGCACAAATGTACTCTTATGCTTGTTACTGTTGCATCAAATCCTTCTATCGACTCATGTAGTTCCTCTTTTTTCGCTTTTCAGATAGCGCTACAGTCACGACAGCGTAAGGTAACGATATACTTCGACAAGAACGAGTAAGACGAGCTAAATAATGCCGTCACATTTGCTTCTCACCGCCTGTACGTCGATGATACCAACCATCACGGCAATCCTAGCAATGACCGCGAAAGACGTATTGTGGCTTCTTTGCATCCCAAGATGCGATGGTGATGACGCCACGCAGTCACACAGAATAGAGATGGTGTTGTTGCTGATGCTAATACAAAAGTCACCACCTGCTCAGCAACAAGAATGTAGCGATGATAATGACGAACCTTTTTGCATTTTGCTGTGTGCATGGATCACTTTTTCTTTTCTAACAAGAGTACATGTCAGTCACTTAGTCTCCTTACAACGCGAGTATGTTTCACCAAGCAGGGCTTACACATTCGTGCCTATGTAATGGACTGCCTACGTATACTGCGTTACGTCGAGCCGCCACGCCATATCGCTTGTAACTGGACACACTGAAGCCCAGCCAGTACAGATCCGTCCGAATATTCATTGCCAGACTGGATGCTTCTTCGAGAGGCCGAGCTCGGTGGTACCAGGGTTTCTGTGTGCCACCAACGAGACTTGAGCGTCAAACATTGTTTGAACGACCTTGGGTTAGTCGTAGCAAGGAATGGGCAATCAGTTGATTCGAGCCGTTGATGCTTGCCAAGGCACCCGATGGTCCCATCATTCTGTTCGTTGCGTAGTGATGCAGTCGCAAAAACTGAGATGCGTTCCTCAGCAAACGTCATGTATGTCTAGACCATCTAAGCTTCTGAGGATAGATGTCCACATCGACGATTAAACGAAGTCACGTGCTTCTGGAAGCAGTTTGGACGAGTGAAATATGCAGGCACGGCTCCATCAAGTTCCTTCGCTCCAATGCAAGTCAAATGCCGTCTAAAAGCTGTCCAAATTCCTTAAACGGTCGACCCATGTACGTTCTTCTTACACAATACCTCAATGAGGACAATCAAACACATCCAATAAATCGTGTGTTGAATGAGCTATGAAGAGTTACGCAATTGCATTATTGCAAGCCCGATGTGTGAAACGAACAGTGACCGTGCGCGAGGTGAATGCCGAGTTCTACAAATCGTACTTTCCGGCTGTCTGTGTGTCTGTAAAATAACCTAGCTGTAAATTACACGTAGCTCTAAGTGCGATCAAGCCTCCTCATCCTCGTAAGTTGACATGCATTGCAGAACTCACTCTTTTGGAAGGGTCACCCATTTGCGATGGCCTGATAATGTAAATTACAACACACATTAATGCTCACACATGATCGGCTTAAGAATGACCAAGGGCGGAGAGGGCTAACAAACAAACACTCGACACTTAGGGCATCGACAATACCGCACTTCCGCCAGTCAGTGTATGTAAATAGTTGTCATCTGATGCACTTGGCACACTGAAATAATAGGAATACTAAAGTCGAACTTCCTTGCTCGGATAAAGAGATAGCTCCCTAAATTTTAATCTCTCATATTTGTCAATGAATTATATGCCGTCACCAAGGGATGTTAGGTAAAAGTCCCTCTTAATAACATGATACTTTTTACCTGCGTTAAAAACGCTAAAAACAAGGTCTTGTTTTTAACAGACTTTTACCAATAGTTATCGATTGAGATTGAATGATTTCACCACACCTTATTGCTGTATTCATCACAACGTTGTATGCCACACCACATACCACAATGCTCTTCATCGCAATAGATGATTCACATTTTATTAAAACTTTGGACTGAACCAAGCGTATAGCATCATCAAAGGAGCCAGTGAAAAACGTATTGTACAAAAGACCACTCAGCAACTTTGCAGAATCTACGACGGAAGCAAGAGCGATAGTGTTCCGTACAGCAAAAGTCACCCAGTCACAAAAAAATTAATTCGGCTTGAAATGTAACTACTTACACCACGACCAAGAGTACTCAGCGGGGTTGTATAGCGAGAGCGTTTGGCAACAGACCTTTCTGTTATGTATGTAAAGCCTGTCCGCATCCCCTGTATTGTGACGTAGCATACCAAAGCTTCTTGGTCGGTGAATGCTATATTTGTGATCAGTTCCATGTAATCTGCCATGTTGTCATCTGTCGCCGTTATGGTAAGATCAATGCTCCAATGATGAATAATAAATTTCCTATCGCGCCTGAAGCAATGTGGTGTGTGGCGTGCTGTTTTTAATAATGTGGTGGATTTAGTAAAAAGGTGTGGTGGATTAACAATTCCTTGTCTATCAACAGTCTGATAATTTGTCAAAGAATCATTATCTTCCGTCGCTTACCCGTTACCATATAGCTCAAATATTTAAAAATGACTTGGTGTCCGGATAACCGTGGATTAGCATCCACAAAATTGGTCCTGGAGATCCACTGTTTCCGCCAAAGGCTTTATACATGCATTTTATCGATTTGCCCGGCTACTTCACATAGAGAGTCCCTGCTTTGTAGAGCTGCAAAACTATTAGAAATAGGTTGAAACGATATAACTGGTAAATTTATTTAACGCTGGTAAAAAGTGGTAGAAATTGGTAGAAATGTTAAAATCGGAATAAAAATGTTACTAAGCGCTGAAAGTCACGGAGCTTTTTACCAAACATCCCTACCGTGAAACCGGAATTGGTAACGGGTGAACAGCTGAATAACCATGCCTTCCACCAACAAACCATCTGGGAGATGCCGTAAAAAGTATAATGTGACGAATTCAACCAAACATCCCTACCGTCACCTGCAATTCGTTATTGTAGGTGTTGCCATGTTCAGGTTCATCCTTTGTTTCTATATTCTAGCATCCTTACTTTCTAGCGTATCGATAATATTAACGAGTAGCTTCAACACAGTGCAACAACACCACAACTTTCCACCTCCCACGCTCAACAAAACATTCATAGCGACCACATACCCGAAATGGGTACGTGAAACTCTCGAACTTGGTTCAGTTCTCTAAACTAAATTACGTTTATTAGTGGGGGAGCTTCAGAGCTTGCGCCTCTTTCTTACTTCGGATGATTGCTTAACGAATAGGCAGCGTATCCCATCGTGAACACGCTTTATCTTCGCATGCATGGCATCGCCCACTTTTATTCTTATGAGAAGAGTAGCAGCTTCGCGGTCAGACTTGCAGCACAAAGTTAATGTGCAAACGATAGGTGTGCTGTGATAAAGTGGTTGCGGTAGAGTAGTCCTGAGCGCGGCGTAAATACCCAGGCAACCCAGTCACTCGCACGCTCCCGTACATGTGGCTAACAGGCTTACGTAATGCAGTCGGTTGGGATACTTTTTCAAAGATGACAACAGTAACGAGTCACTGCAAATGAAAGCCATGCGCAAGTTACGGTCTGCAATTGCCTGCAAATTGCCTATCGACGTAGAACAACTTTCAATGAATGCCACAAAGACATCTGAGGATGTCCAGCTATTGTCACGCATATGTGTTCTCGTGCACAAGAAAAAAAAGTAGTGATATTGTGCTTTTGATGATCTAGTATGCTCTGGGAATGTTCATATAAACAATGTAGTTGCTTCCTGACCACACTGGATATGGGCAGACTCCGTTGCGAGAGTGAGTCCGGATACTGTAGTCTTTCGGGGTGCGAACTGGTAAAGAAGACAACACAAAGTGTGGATTAGACTGAGTGCATCGTCTGCAGTAACTTGCGCAGTTATGACCCGACTTGATCCGTGGCAAGCAGACTGCCGCTATTGTGCCTTATAGAAACACCGAGAATCACGTCTTAACGAGCGCAACTAAGCGGCGGCAATTCGATATCGTGTCTAGCCGTGCATAACTACTACACACGGAACGCTGACCAATATTGCTGGAGGCTGAATGGAATGCGATAGAGCTCGATCGCCCAACTCGTACGTGCAAGACGCGACCAGGTTGCAGTGTGGCTGGACAGTCTCAAAAAGTCGCAGATGAGGTGGTGCGACAGGAGCAACTGATACCGATGATGACAGAGCAACACCGAGTATTTGCCGCCTTTACGCTCGAATCACGAGTCGATGCTTTCTTGACCATCCGGTCGTGCACTTATGCGATATTCACAACAGTTGGACGGTATGCGAAAGCGGCGGTAGCAACTATGCACGCTTGATGTATCCACGGCGTTCCCACAGCTGAGACAGCGAGGGAGATGGAGACGAAATATCCGCAAGCATTTCTAGCCTAGCGCCTTCATGGAAAAAGAGAGCAACTGCGACAATGAACGGCACAAATGATCCTGTAAAAGTGCGGTCATGCATCTGAGACAAGGAAGGAAGAGACCTCCGCGACATCAAGCGGTCTCCGAACGATGTGTAGTGTTTACACCCACAAGTCGTCATTGACACGTCTTTGTCAACCCAAGTGACAAAAGTGAGCTCGAGACATCCTCTGGAACTCCCTCAAAAAGGGACGCGTGCTTGGTCTCGGTTAGCGCTCTCTGAGCTCTCGAGCTTTAAGAAATTTGATCGTTCGCAGAGAGACGTTGAGGTTCGAACGGACGCGATGCGTTCGGCACTTGCTCCTTTCAATGTTATGATACGGTCGGCTTTGCTGCACGGAGCATAGAGTGCAGTAGCTTCGTGCATCTCTGATACGACAAGCGAAGTGTGTAGTTTGTATCGCACCGCCCGTGACGTCTTAGAAACTACAGCAGCACGTGTCGAGTCTAGTTTTTACATGTTCTATCAAGCACGGCGAAAAGACTGGCGAGTTGGAGCGAGTTGAGCTGCTTTCAGCTTGCAGTACGAAGTCGCTGTCTCGAAAGGGCGGGAACGTAGATCAGTGGCGTCGTCTCGATCGTGATAGAATAACGCAATACACGCGTACAGTGCAGCAGAATTCGCAAGTGCCGATAAAGTGCACCCTAGTCTAACCTACCATTGTTTTCTATTGCTGCGAGTGGGTGCTTGGCAACAAGGGAATGTTCGATAACAAGTGCCGTGCTCGTAATTGCCAGATGCTCGACAGACAGACAGACAGACAGTGCTCTTCTGTGCTCTAGTGTCGGGTCTAGCCAGTTCCTTCGAGCGCTCCCACTTCTTAAGACCTCAAAGTATCCAGCTTCGATTCCGAATGTCAACCTCTGACTCGAAAAGCGAGGTTTGAGCTCCTGTCGCTTTTGATAAGGATGTTCATTGACTGCGTTCACTCACTGCATCATAGTTCACGCAAAGGGGCTCAAGTGTGTTGTTAAAATATAGCTACCCGTTATCATTGATACAGTTATGTCTTCCACCTCCTCGGATCTCTACACCGCAAGGCTCTAAACTTCGTGTGCTACGTATGCTGTTGATAGATAGAAGCCGATAGCAGCACTTGCCAACCGGCTTCGACTGAGCAATGGCTCTTGTTCTTACATGTACATCCAAACAAACAAACCAGCCACCGATCCTTCTCATAAACCCTGAAGGAGGTGTGCTTAGCTGTTTGCTTGCTTGCTTGATCTTGAGCGTTAGCAGGTTACTCGAGGATCGCCGAGCACAAAAAGTCGATCTCGTCCGAAGACAAGTAGCTCTGATAGCAGCGGCTTGGCATGGACATTTGAAGGTGAAGACCTCCAAGGAAGGAACGGCCATCAACGGGGAGGCAGCTCCACACGCTCTCGTTGAGGTTGCAGTCGACCGAGTCGGGCGTGTACATGGGCGACGATCCATTGGACGTCATGGATGAGAACGACGTGGACGAGGACGTCGAGTAGGTCGAGCCCACAGGAGACACGACCTCCGAAGTGGGCTTGAGGCCTGCAAGAGCCGCCATATCCAGCATCGAGATGGATGACGGGGACGAGAGGACACTGAGCGTGCTGTGCGTGTCTCGCGCCTTTTTAGTGCGAGCGACCTGACGTTTCTGACGGTCGAACTTGCGCTGGATCTTGTTGGCCTTGTCCCGGTGGTACAGGCACAGCTGGTGAGGCTGGCCATTGCGCTTGCTCGAGCGGACATTGGTGCACTTGCCAGTTTTGTATCGGCACTTGTTCGAACCCATGGTCGGGGAGTCAGCTAGACCCATGACGCAGTGGCGGGATGATTCAGTCGAGGACGAGTTGGCAACCATTGTGTAGGGAGAAGAAGATGAGGTGGCAGTTTGGAAGAGCGAAGTGAACCGGTTGGTGGTAGGCACTTGAGCTACAGGTGTCAAATTTGGAAATGCTAAAGGATTCGAGCTCTGGTCAATTGTTGATGGCTGTCGCCACGAAGGACTGAAGAACTGACTGAAGAACTGACTGAGGAACTGACTGAGGAACTGACTGAGGAACTGGCTGACTGGCTGACCGGCAGACTGACTCGGCACTGAAGAAAGGAATCCATGGCTCGTTGCTGCCACACGTGCCTTCAGGCATTGCAATTGCTGTATTCCAGTCGGTTTCGAGACGTGGACAGGCCGAGTGGGATGTCGATGCTGTAATGAGCGCTTCTGTCCCCACTTCAATATGTAAACTTGCAGTTCATCTCCTAGAGGCATTAGCATCTACAGTCGAGCTCCGGATGTTATGCGTTATTTATTTACTCCCAATAGTTCTTCTAAGACTAATAGAGTAGCAGGATCGACTCGCTGTTCGAAATGCCACTACTGGTCGAATACCAACCGGGCCCTGCGTTCACCAAACTTGCGGCAACGGATAGATAGACAGACCACTCTCCCTTGACATGATCACGCCGTGATTCCCTCTATCTTCACTCGTGAATAGTATAAGAGATTAGAGGACATTAATTTCGAAATGCTGCCGTCGCAGGCGTATTGTCAGCTTTTCTTTTTAAATTACATTTTGAGGCGGAGAAGATTATATTTGACAGGATTCGGGCACTTCCGTCAGAATAGTGTGCAACGCTGCTGATCACTCGTTTAAACGCTAGAAATTAAAGCGAGATAGAACGACGCATTACTATGGAGTTATCATGGGCTTGTGCTAAGAAAGAAGTTTAGTTACCAAGTCATATGCTATGCCATTCAGGTGGTGATAGTCATTGTACTGCGGGGCCTGCTCATGGTCTTGCCCTGTTGTTGCCTGCGGCGAAGCTCGTGAGACCTGAACCGAGTTGACAAATGGGGCGAAGGTACACATAGAAGACAGGAGATCATACATCTCCAAAGAGATTGGGCGGTGTGGAAGCATGAGCAGCAGGCTGAATAGTTGACAGCCAGTCTCAGTATGCGACACGCGATTCCACGGTAGACATCCGGTTTAGACTTGCAGTTTCACGCTTACTTCGCCCTGCAGTGGAGTCTTTGAACTGGATGCTTAGGGCTACATGGAAGATGTGTCTTCCCATGAAAGAAAATATTTGGCAAAGATCCACCCGAGAACGGAAACTGATCAGGATGCGAAGTCCGCCAGTGCCGCATGTCTCGTAACGTCAGGGAACTATCTCCGCTTATCGTTCCGGAAAAGCAAATGCTTTTTTAGTGCATGCATGTGCCGTGTATCTCCGAGCTTCCACCGACTATTAATCAAGCTGATAGACATGTTAGCTCATTTTTACACATGTGTAGACCAAGATGTGAGGCTGAGGAATATAGCGACACACCAAGTTACATGAGGCAAGGACGAGGCATGCAACACAATGAAGGACAAGTTCAGACCATGCCTTCGCTACAAGCATGTACATGTATGTGTGCATGCCCCCAAAAGACAGTGTGCGTGGATGTGATTACGCGACGCGTGTTTGTTCGCCAGCGTTCATGTATCGCCAAGAATTCTAGACAACGCCCCTGACCGGCTCTCGGTGAGCTAGGATACATATCGTACATGTACGGTCCACTTTACGCGATATGGGCCTTACCTGGTTCGCGCTGCGTTCTTGGCGCAGGAACGCCGGTCATGATGGAAAGGCTACAAGTAAACGGTGCGATATCTAGCCCAGTCTGCTTGATGAGAGGATACAATTTGGTCTGCATAGATGCGGGGCAGAAAAATAGTGGAGACTTCGTTATGCGAGAAAACTTGCTAACGGTCCGAGCTAACGAGCTTAGTAGAGCCAAGAGAGGAGGTGTAATGTCGTTGGTGATACGGCTGTGCACGTGCCCTGCATGGTGCTTGCATCCCCCTGACAACGAAGCCTTTCATAACCAAGTAGTAGCGACTGGTTAACATAGCGACGATCGAGATTCGAATTGCGGTTGGCCATCCAGCCCCGTTGAAGCTTCGCCAGCAGCCTGATACTAGTTGCAGGTACCCTCACCTTTGCTACGTATGGTCCAAAGAAGCGCGACATTGGGCGAGGTCCCTGATCTGAATCTTGTGCTGGAATCTCTACGTCTAAGAACTACACTTGACCTCCTGAGATTTGATCCGCGACAAAACACGTTGCCCGAAAGTGGTCGGGTCCGTCATCAAACTGCGCTCAACTGCTCCGGCTTCTTTGCTTAAGGCTCAACACGACCCCACCCTCTAGCCACCTGGCAGTGATGGGAACTTTGTGCGTAAGGCATGTCGTGCCCTCCCTTCTAGACAACTCTCTCCTACAGATTCGGCAGACGTGTCGTCAGTGAAAGCCATTCATACCTCTCCCAGTCTGCCCATTGGGAACGTGTGCAAAGTCGGACTCGCTGGATCATATCAGAGCCTCTGCACACGAACTGGACGTGCCCGCCTTCGCACAATCCATAGGACGGATGTCACGTATGAGATTAAATGAGCAATCCATTTGAATCACCTCTGCCTGTCTTCTTTTTCAGAAAGGCAGGCCTCTTTGATCACGAGCGCTTGAACAGCTGGTGGCTTTCACCCCTCCTGACGTGCTCTCAGAAAAACCGGCACTAAACCAAACTGTACATAAGCTAGGATTGAGGTAATCGAAAGCATCTCCCTTTCACTGATGATACGTACCATTGATGATCATCGAAATGGAAATTTGCGGGGCAACTTGCACTTTCGTGACAAAAGACTCTGGTCTGTACCAGCCCTTGCCATCTTGGACTCGTGTCGCTGGTGTCGCATTCTTTCCTTGACGAATCTCCCGCGAAAATGCGGGGCTAGTTCCATACACGGTGGAGCGTCTGGTGCCGAATGTGTCGCACCGAGTGTCCCTTAGTAGCAGCTGCGTTCCTATTGAATTTACCACTTCGAGCCTCGTAGGCTGCTGCTACCAACAATGCGTTGTAATACGATACCGGAGTCATTCATGGTGACGTCATTAACATGGCCACAGCAGAGAATAGAAGGGCTTATGATGCGTCCTTGTGCACGAGGGCGTACGATCAAAAGACGCAAAATGAGAAGTCTCTTCTCGTTTGTTAATGGCGTGTTGTGGGACCATTCGAGCACAATGGCAGTAAACATTTTCTACTGTAAGTTTGTGTCGCGCTCCTGCACCAGGGAGCACATAGGCGCTCCCGCAAGTCTATCCCGCTCCGCATTTCGCCCGTACAGAAACGCACCCGCGACATCAACGGAAAATGTGTGGCTAGTGAAGCAGTCTTGAAGACGAGAGATACCACTGGGGCATAACTATTCGGTTTGCAAGGATTCCTCCGACTATCCACAACCTTGTCGCCCCTCGCTATCCATAATCTAGAACGCATGAAGACGCTTCGACAAGCCCTTGTCGAACAAGTCGCTAAGTAAAATACAGTCACACTCTCACAGCAGACGTCCAGTACCAAAGCTGGCATACGATCCTTTCCCAACCATCACGGCTAATTTCGCAATCTCCACACATTCAACACCAATATACCGAAGTTACAGCAATGCACGTGCTCAAGCTAGGAAGGCGTTCCAATCTCTCGTCCGTCCGGCAAGGAGACTTAGATCTATGCATCCCTAATTGTTCGAGTCTGGATTAAGAGTGTCTATCTGCAGGCTAAGGTTCACGCAAAGTGCTCAATGCCTTGTGTCTAAACTCTGGTTACGAAACGGTGTGTTCGTAACATTAACGCCACTTCAGTTACCTCTTGCTGTCCGTTTCAGCAGCCACAAGGACACGTCGTCCACGTCACTTTATTTTAACTGCATCTACCAAACACTCCACACGAGCAACATTATCTTAGAATTGCTTAAACTTCACCCTTATCTCAATCACAACAAACGAGCTTTCTAGCTGATCGAGTGCAACATACGAAGCTACAACGTTGCACTATCACTGCACACCCTCCTTGTGTTGCTGCTTACGTGAAACGCAACCTAAGCCCTCGCAGCCACCCAATACACGTCACAAATGCTGGCTCGGCATCAGCGGCGCGCACTATTTCCAGCGTCTATTCTGCGAAGACGAAGTCTCGCAACGGCTAGCAATGGCAAACAGATCGCTGACGATCAGCTCCTTACCCCAGACTTGGTGGGTCCATACATGTCCGAGCGACTGGACGAGTTCTCGCCTGAGCGCATCCGCAACTTTAGCATTGTCGCCCATATCGACCATGGCAAATCGGTGCGCTATTTGTAGGCTGAATCTAAAATAACGGTCTTTAATGCTGTGATAAAGTCACGTTATGTGTATTTCTATAAACCTAGAAATGAAGTTAGAAAGTGGTTTTCTCTTTTCTTACCCTATTTCTATCATGACGCAATATGTAGACTCTCGCGGATCGACTGCTGGAAACTAGTGGCAATATCTCGCGTCAAGAGCGAGAAAGTGCCCAATTTCTCGACAATTTAAAAGTCGAGAGAGAGCGAGGCATAACCGTAAAAGCTCAGACGTGTTCCATGATCCATCAAGATGCAAAAACAGGAGAAACTTTGATGCTCAATTTAGTGGATACTCCGGGGCACGTGGATTTTAGTTACGAGGTGAACCGCTCGCTGTCTGCGTGCGAAGGAGTGCTCTTACTGGTGGATTGCTCCCAGGGAATCCAGGCTCAGACATTGGCCACTTACTATGCAGCAAAAGAGAGGAACTTGCACGTGGTGCCGGTGTTGACGAAAATTGATGTACCCCATGCTGAAATTGATGACAGCATCTTGAGTCTATCGTCATTGCTGGACGTGGATCCAGATGAAGTGCTGTTGACGTCAGCCAAGAGTGGAGATGGTATTGAAGATGTGCTGCCAGCAGTAGTGGATAGACTACCACCTCCTGTGAAGTGTGATCGAGATGCGCCGCTCAGGTGTTTACTGGTGGACTCTTACTACGATGACTACCGGGGCACCGTGTGTCTCGTCAAGGTCGTGGATGGCGCGATTTTTCCAGGTGACAAGATTTACAGCGCCCATGAAAAGACAAAGCACGACGTGCAGGAAACGGGTTTGCTGCTGCCGAGACGATACAAGACAAAGGGGTTGTATGCTGGGCAGGTGGGGTACATTATTGCTGGTATGAAGACAACGACCGAAGCAAAAGTTGGCGACACGTTTTTCCGTGAAGGTGCTGAATCGTTGGATTTGAAAGCTTTGCCTGGGTTCCAAGAAGCCCGGAGCATGGTCTTTGCGAGTATGTATCCCACGGACGAATGCAGCTTCGATGAGTTACGTGTGGCCATTGAGAAACTTACGCTCAATGATGCGAGTGTGACGGCTCAGCAAGAGACAAGTGGCGCGTTGGGCATGGGCTTCCGCTGTGGTTTCTTGGGGCTGCTGCATATGGAGGTGTTCCATCAGCGTCTATCTGATGAGCAGGAAATGCAGGTGATGGTCACTGCACCCATGGTACCGTACACTGTGATCGATCCAAAGGGAGAAAAGTCTGCTGTTGAGACTCCTGGTGCTTTCCCGGAATCGACCAAGTATTACGAGATCCTGGAGCCCATGGTAGAGGCATCGATTATCACTCCTGCGTCGTACTTGGGCCCGGTGCTGGCACTTGCTAAAGAGAAGCGCGGCATTCAGACGAACCTCGTCTACCTCGAGGATGAACGCGTCATCGTTACCATCAACGTCCCGTGGCAAGAGGTGGTCACCAACTTTTACAACGAGCTCAAGACAATATCGTCCGGTTACGGTACGGTAGAACCGTCATACGTGTTTTGTGATGGTGTCTGATGATGTGCGTGACTGATATTCTACAGCAACTCTCAACTACCGCGAGATCGAGCCACAGAAGTCTGACATCGTGAAGGTGGACTTGTTGATCAACGGAAAAGTTCTCGATGCACTATCGTTTGTGTGTCATCGAAGCAAGGCCACGCTCGACGGTCGCGCACTATGCCAAAAGCTAAAGCGTGTCATTGATCGACAGCAGTATGAAATATCGATCCAAGCTTCACTAGGCGGCAAGGTCTTTGCCAAGGAGCGAATTGCACCGTATCGTAAGGATGTTCTTATCAAGTCTGGCAAAACCGTTGGTGGAGGTGATAGTACCCGGAAAAAGAAATTGCTAGCTAAACAGAAGCAGGGCAAGCGTCGCATGAGAACTGTATCTAATGTACAGCTCTCACAAGATGCGTTTTGGTCCGTGCTTTCCAAATAATAATTAATGCATTCAGTTGTGTAATGAGAAGTGTAACGGGGTGAATCGTTGCATAACAATTTATAAGAAATTGTTAATAGAACAGAACTATAAGAGTTATATTCTCAGAATATTGTCATAAGGACAAATATTCTGTAGCACTTACGAGTAGTTCCTAATTGGTTGATATAGGCCATTATATCAACCAACGAAGACGCGCCACGACAGACGCACGCAATGAGTGGTGAGCAGATAACTGATTTACACATTTGTATTTAGACATAGTTAGATGAAGATAAATAGTGATTTATTAACAGACATTAACTATGCTAAATACAGTTCTACTTTTTACTTTAACCAAGTACTCGCTTCTTCTTACCGTCTTACTCTGCACGTACGAGTGTACGTGAAGTTACGAGGCACCGCCTTATTCTATCATCAGAATAAGTAGCTTGTACTGTCACCAGTACAAGCTTCAGGGTGCCCCGTTACAACTGGTAGCACTTCGTAGTCCGTCCAAGGACCGCGTTCACATCCAACATGAATATGTTGGATGATGAAGATGACCAAAGCTTTCACGCTACGCGTGACGGCTACTCCCATTTGAGCGATGTCGAATGGGATGCGGTTGAACGAATGGGTTCGACCATGGGCATCCATGCTGTTAGCGTCATGCCAGAGGCTCTCAATAGAGATGCCCAACATGCTACTATCGCCAAGTTCATTCAAAATGAACTTGACGCAGAACGCGAGAAAGTAGCCTTGCTTCACCAACAAGGTTCTCAACAAGCAGATTTGTTGAGAGAACAGGGTGCTCAACAGTTTGAACTGTTGAGACAGCAGCAGGCTGCTGCTGGTGGGTCGATGCACTCGCGTCGACCCGAAACCTTGAAGATTGACATCTCCAAGTATAGGGGAGTCGAAGAAGACTCCCTCTTGAGATGGTTCGTCGAATTGGATGACGCCATAAGGGCGCGTCGCATCGACGACGGGGATATGCAAGTTGCATTTGCCCAGTCAAATCTGGCAGGACGTGCCAAGACTTGGGCACTGGGGCTCAAGTTGCACGACCCATATGCGTTTGGGTCGTTGGAAGTCTTCAAGTCGCGGCTCAGACAAACGTTTGAACCGCCTAGAGCTGAGTTCAGAGCTCGAACCGAACTCTTGAAGCTCAAGCAGGGTAAGCGTGATGTGCACGCTTACGCTCAACATATACGACATCTCACGAGTTGTATAAGTTCCAATCCGGTGGATGAACACACGTTGGTTTCAGTGTTCATGCAGGGTCTTGCGGATGGTCCCGTCAAGACTCACCTGTTCCGGCTTGAACTAGATTCACTAGAACAAGCCATTTCCATTGCGGAGCAGGAAGACTTCAGTCTGAGACAGGCTCGCGCCAGCTCGACATCATATCGTCAACCGAGACGATATGACAACGGAGGTCCAGAGCCGATGGAACTCTGTTATGTAGAGAGCGAGAAGGCCCGCTCTACAGGCTACAAGAGGTTGCAGAGATGCAACAGATGTCAAAAGACAGGACACTACGCTTACGAGTGTAGTGCCCCTCGTCCAGTGTCTCGCGACACTGGGCGTAGTGACCGTCCACCCATGAGAAAGGGGCAGGGACGAGGGTCCGCGGTTGGTGCAAAGACGCAACAACGGGATGGACCGTCAAAAAACGGACAGGATCAGTAGGTGCGGAGCACCCTACTGATCCAGCAACGTCAAGAGAATTTGTAGGCCTCTTGATGAAGGTTGCTCCCAACACACAAACGTTGTGCGTTGCTGCTCTAGGTAATGAGGTCTCACTCATTACCTTGAAACTCGAAGTGACGAATAAGTTGTCCCTTCGAGCCCTAGTCGATTGTGGGGCGTCCAACAATTTTGTGCGACGCCAATCGCTAGAAGATAGTCACTTTAAGTTTGTTGAGTGTGACACACCTCCTACGAGGATGACGGTACGTCTTGCGACAGGCGCATCCGTAACCGTCACGAAGCGTATAGTGAAGATTCACTATACGCTAGAAGATACCCAATATGACGATGACGTTATCGTATTCGATTTGGATGACAAATTTGATGTCATCCTTGGCATACCGTGGCTCAGAAGGTACGAACCACGGGTAAACTGGCAACATCGAACAGTAACGATGCCTGCCGCTTGTTCATCAGATGGCCATCTGATGAACGTTTTGGAGCGTCCACAAGCGTGTGGATGTACTACGAGTGAGTGCGATGGCCTCACTTGTGGTACGGTCGTTAGTACGACTGCACAAAACCTTAGTGTACCAAACGGTTACACTTCGGAGCAAAGTTCCGGCGGCTGTGAGGAAACACAGGCTGCGCCGAAGGTCCACCACTCGAATAAGTCGGGTGGACTGGGACAAAGATGTATCCCTAGCGGGGAACATCTAGAAGAGAAACAATCGATCGCTCAGGTTAAGCGAAACGATAATCCTAGACCGACTGGAGAGTCTTTCGTAGAGGATCTCGCTGTGGTTGCGCAACCCCAGCTAGAGGAAGTAAAGGGAATAAGTCCCAAGATTACAAATACGGCGGAAATAAGTTCCCCGAAACCCGCGGGAATAAGTCCCCGGGAAGACGAAGGAATAAGTCCTTCGAAGCCTAAGGGAATAAGTCCCCAGGAAATGACAGAGACATTGAATGTCATAGTCAATAACGGATCAAGTGTAGGCGCTTATACACTTAATCTGAGTGCGCCTCCGAAGTTAACTTCGGAGATCACTCAGTTGCCAACGCTCGAACATAAAAGGTTCTTGCGTGATCTGCGTAGTGGCAAAGTCAAGCAGATCTGCATACTCGTCGCTGACGACGAGTGTGTAACCGACATAAGGTCAGCAACAGTGTTTACGGAGAACGAGAGAGTTCTCAGTAGATCATCTATGGACGAGAGTGTCCTAGATGAAAAGACACGAATTGAGCGATATGACTCCCAATCATGGGAATCGCTTAAGATAAATCCTCTCTATGAAGATTTGGTTGAATTTAAGGATGTATTCCCTGAAACTGTTCCGTGCGAATTACCGAAGGATAAAGGTATTCGACACGAGGTCAAGCTTAAACCAGGCTCGAAGTACTGTGTCATGAAGCAGTGGCCACTGCCTCGTGAACAAGTACTTGCGATCGACAAGTTCTTTGCCGATCGTTTAGCAGCGGGCCATGTGAGGGAATCAACTTCCCCACATAGCTCTCCGACCTTCTGTGTGCGAAAAGCAACAGGAGGGTGGCGGATAGTGCATGCATTTCACAAGTTGAATGCTGCAACGGTACCGGCTCAGACGCCGATACCAAGGAAGGACGTAATCATTGATGGCATGTCAAAGAGTACCATCTTTTCGTCCATGGATTTGATGGATGGCTTCTATCAGATCCTTATGCGAGAACGGGATATACCCTATACCGCAGTTAGCACGCCTAGCGGCATGCTCTGGGAATGGCTAGTAATGCCACAAGGGCTTAGTAATGCCCCTGCCACGTTCAACAGATGTGTATCACATCTGTTGAGACCAGTACGCGAGTTCGCGCCGAGTTATTTCGATGACGTATTCATCCATAGTCGAGCTATGGATGGAAAGTCGGATATTGAGGTTCACAGGTACCACGTCCGACAGGTTCTTACGATCATGCGAAAGCATCAATTGTATGCAAACCTCAAGAAGTGTATATTTGCAGCAAGCGAAATACCACTTCTTGGGTGCATCGTTGGTAAGAACGGAGTACGTCCTGATCCCGAAAAGATCAAGGCGATCACCGACTGGCCTGTGCCGGTTGATGTCAAAGGCCTTCGAAAATTCCTTGGGCTAGCGGCGCATTTGCATAAGTATTCACGCAATTACGCCGAGATGACTGTACACCTCTATCGTTGTTGAAAAAGAACGAGAGGTGGTTATGGAACGCTGAATTTCAGCGCTCCTTTGATGGTATCAAGCAGAGCTTGATACAATCCCCAGTCCTAGCAATAGCCGATCAGGACAGGCCATTTCATGTGGTCTGTGATGCCAGCGATTTCGCAATCGGCTGTGCACTAATGCAGTACGATCTTGAAGGCGTTGAACGCGTCGTCTGCTATCAGTCGCGTCAGCTGCAACCAGCTGAGCGGAACTATCCAGTGCATGACAAGGAACTCCTTGCCATGAAGTATGCACTCGCGAAGTTCAGAGTCTATCTATTAGGAGATAGACCCTTCATTGTTTACACTGACCATGCGTCATTACGCACGGCAGTGAACAGCCCGCACCTTTCACAACGAATGGCGCGGTGGTTGTCATTCTTTGCGGAATACAACTTTACGGTCGAGTACAAACCAGGACGACTTAATGTCGTCGCTGATGCACTCTCACGTCGTCCCGACTTGGAAACAGTCGCGAAACCCAACAGTGAGACAGTCACTGTTGCGGTTATGACGTCCTCAGTCCCATCTACAACGTTGTATGATGATGTGAGGCGGGCATACGCCCAAGATGGTGAGATAGTGAAGTTGTTGACACATCTCTCCCAACCATCTCGAGAATCGTTGAAACGATTGTCGCCTGCGTATCGATCTGCATCAGATCGATACACTGCTCGTAACGGTTTACTATATTATACAGCCGTTTCTGGTGACACACCACGTGTTGTCATTCCAGATGATACTGATCTGCGTTTGCGGATCATGTTCGAGTATCACGATGCTCCTATAGGAGGACATCGTGGCCGAGAGAAAACATATCTCACGGTAAGTCGAGACTTTTACTGGCCCCGCCAGTATCAGTTTGTGCGAAAGTATGTTCGCGCATGCGAAGTCTGTCAACGAGTGAAGTCAAGTCCTTCACTACGTGCACCTTTACAGCCTCTACCGGTTCCGGCTGAGTGCTGGGAATCCATCTCAATGGATTTAGTCTTCGGGTTACCCAAAGACGCACGCGGGGATACGGGTATTCTCGTATTTGTTGACAGATTCAGCAAAATGGTACACCTTGTGGCTGTGCCAGAGACAATCACGGCAAGTGGCTGTGCCAGAGACAATCACGGCAAGTGGCTGTGCTTGTGTCTTTATTGACACCATCTTCCGACTTCATGGGTTGCCCCGTGAACTCGTATCAGACAGAGATCCACGATTCACTGCTGATTTCTGGCGTTCCGTGTTCAAATCACTCGGAACGCGCTTGAAGATGTCAACATCTGATCATCCAGAGTCAGATGGTCAGACGGAACGTGCCAATCGTGTCCTTGAAGAGATACTTCGAGGATACGTACACTCCTTTAAGAGTTGGAGTGAGTTTTTGCCAATGGTAGAGTTTGCCATCAACAACTCGGTGCATGCGTCCACGACACATACACCTTTTTACGTGAATGGCTTGCGCCATCCGCGTGTACCCACCTTACTAGAGTGTAACTCTGGTTTAAGGGGGGGAGGGACTCGCGCGAGCAAAAACCGATTTGGTTCACGCCCATCACGCTCTGACGAAGAGGTCATTGCGTTTGATGCCGATATCGATAACATCGATATCGAAGAAGATGATGCCAGTGAGAGTGCGGAAGCCCTCACTGAAGAAAAGGTTGATGTTGCTGCAGTGCACTCACAGCGCACTGAAGCTAACGAGTCATCAGATGAGTTCATACTGGCTCGTGAAACGGTAGTCCGTTTTGTGCAAGACTCCATCGCCAAAGCGGTGGATAAGCAAAAGCAAAACGCTGACAAGAATGGAAGGGCAAACACCATTTTATTTAATAAAGGTGACTTAGTCCTACTGTCTACGGTTAATCTACCAAAGCATGTAGTGACTAACTTGGGTAGCAGTAAACTACTACCCAAGTACATCGGCCCATTTCGTGTCTTGCACCGCCTAGGCAATGCATACACGATCGAGTTGCCACGTAAGATGCGAACGCATCCCACGTTTTACGTTGGTCGGCTTAAGCCGTACCATCAGTACGCTGCTTCTTCCGATGAAGAACGCCCTTGCGCTCAAGCATCTCGCAGAGAGCCTTATGCTCCCGATGGTGGGCATTAACAAGGGTCTGAAGAGCAGCTATCTCATCCCGAGACCGATCAACAATCCCACGAGCTACCCTTAGCTCGTCACGAAGAGATGTCAGAGCTCTTTTGTTCTCGAGCTGAGCAAAGGCAAACTCAGCTCGATGCTTCAAGACAGTGTCCGCCAGTTGAAGACGCCTGTCCCACTCATGTTCGAGATCGTCGCGTAATCCTTGCGTTACGCGATCAAAGAAGCTCTCGGGAACACACCGATCCACATGATAGTGTGGAGAGCGTCTTTCCTCCTCCTCCACCTCCATTAGAGGACTCTCGCGGTGGCCAGCGCTATCTAGTTGAGCAGCTGTTGAACCACCGCGATGTGAACGGACGTCGGACGAGTTATCTCGTCCGGTGGCGCGGCTATCCCCCGTCCTGGGATTCTTGGGAGCCCCGCTCCCAACTGATGGTTGACGTACTGGGTCTAGTCGAGCAGTACGACGCGGCACATCCTGTGCCGCAGAAGGACCGCCGGAGAAAGTCTTCCCGGCACGGTCGTAAAGGGAGTTCAGGTTGTCAATCCCTTCTTACGTCTCAGTAGAGACACGTACGCGCCACCACGGGCTGGTAAGGAGGTAAGCCTCATTAGGTGCTCGTGCAGAGTTGTTCACACAACATGGGCACGAGTCTCCCCAAGAGAGGCAGGGTAATCCTTTCTCCCTTGACCGACGATGCAGCTTGTAGCGTGCACCTGTCGGGGTTCGCTTTTCAAACTTATCACGAGCTTTGATAAGTTTGTCGTTCCAAACGTCACGACCTACATCCTCAAGGTTATGGATGTAGGCGTTCCACGCTTGAAGTAGTGAGGGACCATCACGCTTGTGATTCCCACTGTACCATCGATGTCTAAAGAAAGCATCGATGATAAATACATTCTCAGCGCGATAGTTTTTTGCGCTGGGGTCAAGGTGATGGATCCTTGACGAATGAACAACCGTGTTCGATAACGATCACTCGTCGTCGCCGACAAGTGATCCATGACAGATTTTGGAGGCATCCATGCCTTCTTCTCAGGAGCGAGACGCAAGACATTGCGGTCCCGCTCTTCCTGCGACGTGCCGACAGAAGGACTGGCACCTCGTTGCGAAGTGGTGTCCATAGGAGAACCGACACCACTATTAGCGCCCGAGTCTCGCGACCTCGAGCGCCTTCGCTTCGGCGATGTTTCATCTGATTCGTCAGATGAACCAAAGATGCTACGACGCATAGCATCATCTATGCCAAGCTTGGCAGGCGGCTTGGATCGATCGCCGTCGATACGGATCCGTCTTCCGTATCAGGAGAGTATGAGACTCCGAGCTCATACTCTGTGAAGACATGAGTGTCTTCATGACCAGCGCCTGCATCACCAAGTGACACAGGCTGAGTCGCTTCAGCAACCGATGAGACATCAGTTGCTGTGGTTTCTGCTTCGACGTCCGGACAGAGACGTGCGGACGCGCTCTCGGCGGCCTTGCTCGCGCATCGCATGGGCTTGTTAACCATGCGATGAGATGTTGGAAAGTGGACGCGGACCAAAAATTGCAAACCCTGTCCCAAATGATTTGGGACGAGTATCCATTTAGTCAATCAGTCACTAAAGTGACTGATGGTTAAGGGGGGGGTGATGTAACGGGGTGAATCGTTGCATAACAATTTATAAGAAATTGTTAATAGAACAGAACTATAAGAGTTATATTCTCAGAATATTGTCATAAGGACAAATATTCTGTAGCACTTACGAGTAGTTCCTAATTGGTTGATATAGGCCATTATATCAACCAACGAAGACGCGCCACGACAGACGCACGCAATGAGTGGTGAGCAGATAACTGATTTACACATTTGTATTTAGACATAGTTAGATGAGGATAAATAGTGATTTATTGCAGACATTAACTATACTAAATACAGTTCTACTTTTTACTTTAACCAAGTACTCGCTTCTTCCTACCGTCTTCCTCTGCACGTACCAGTGTACGTGAAGTTACGAGGCACCGCCTTATTCTGTCATCAGAATAAGTAGCTTGTACTGTCACCATTACAAGCTTCAGGGTGCCCCGTTACAAGAAGGTAAATGCACGTGGTGCTGGCAATGCTTTATGTCGAACGACAATACCCGAACCTTGTACAGCAAAACATTGTACCTCGTCATACTATTTTGGAAGCTCGCAGTCAACCAGTCTTGAGTCATTGCAACGATTACCTTTAAACTGCAGTGTGTTACCATTCTGAGCAGATGGTGATTTAATTTTACATGAAACGGGTATATTGACTCGCAGTGGGGACATCACTTTAGTTTTGTTTGCGTGAAGCTCGCCAAGAATGGATGTTCAGCTGTTTATGCAACCTTGATGTGTAAGCTCATAGAACGATCGGTGAAACAATTAGAGAGCAAAATATTGCAGTGAAAACAAAATACTGAAAAGTTTAACAAGGTAGAAATTGTTGGAAGTGGAGTTGTCATAGCGGACACTCCGTTCCGGTTCAACGCCCCAGCTAGTTATAGCGGGTGATTTGTGTGGTTACACTGAGCTCTAGAAGATTCTTAGTTTGGTTAGCGCAGGATACAGAAAGATCTCACTTCTAGATTATATAAGCCTTAGACGAGGCCCCCCGTTGGGGGGCGAAACGCGTCCGGCGCGCATTTTGATATGGAAGTCTTTCATCACTTTGATCTTCAACAGGTTATGAGCCCAAAACCTCGCCCCAGCCATCTTGTCAAGAACCGACTTGTGCGACGGAAACTCCGCTGGTGATGGACTTGGCAGAGGACTCTGGTGCGGAAAACGTGTAATTATTCCGTGAGGATTCCCAGGATGAGGTGTTGTGCTCACTTCTGTTGAAAAGCATGCCGTGGATCATGACTCTGACTGCGACGTCATGAACAACTTAAAGAATGTTCTGAGGGTGTGGGGCTCTTGGTAATTTCACTTTGTGAGTTAAAGATCTAACTCTCCTTCTCAAGTCAAGCATGACTCAATTTCAGACCTTGAACTCTTTTTGGATCATGACGTGCAGTGCTCTGGTGAAACGTTCATGTTTAATGCGGCCGACTGATATGTTCAGGTATGTAGGAGAGCATCAAGGATGTCGAGCTGTTGTGTTCCTTGACACGCTTGGCTTGCACATTGTCGCGAACAAAGTAAAATCGGATGTTGATGTGCTTGCTTCGGGGTGAGCTGACGCGGTTCTCCATGTTCTTGATTGCAGCTTGATTTGCCAAGAATGAGCGACAGCGGTTCTTTGTCTGTGGTAAGTTTTATCCCCAATAAAAGATCATTCACCCATAGACATTCACTAGCCCCTGTTGCTCCGGCGATATACTCTGCTTCCATTGTAGACAACGCGATGACGGACGGTTTCTTCGAGTACCACGAGAAAGGTACGCCGGTCATCGTCAAAATGACCCCGGTTGTAGATTTGCTTCTGATTTAGAGTCGGCCTATGAGGCGTCGCTGTAAACCTTGTGGCGTGCTTGCGACCAAACTGAACTGAGTTTATTGATGAAAATGCCGTGAGTCGAGGTACCCTTGAGGTAACTTATGAGACGTTTAAAACAATTCCAATGTTGAATGGTAGATGCGTGCGGGAGGTTCACGGTCGTTATAATTTCTGGACGGGTGCAGTTGGAGATCCACAGCAGTGATACCATAGCCTTTTGATACAGTCGCTTATCTAAAAAACAAACTTGACTTTTGATCGTACAGGTTGTATTTCTTGCATATCGTTTTCGAACGAGTTGTGCAATTTTAATTTCGACCTTGGCAAGGTTAACATCAACATTGTGCTGTTGTTGCAACAGGTAGCCAGATTTGGTTGTATCCACATTTATACCGAGGCACTTAAAATCAGACCCAAGTCGTCATTATCAAAAATTTGCGTGGAGCTGTTTCTCGACGGTGTCGGACAGGGAGTCATCTGGTGCAATTACTGTCACATCGTCGACATAGAGACCAACAAGGTTGTACCGAGGGGTTCATGTTTTAACTAGACGCACGGATCTTGGCAGCTTTGTCTAAACTTGCACTCCAGGAGAAAATTCTGAATCAATTCGTTCCATAGTCGACCGCGTTGTTTGAGACCATTTGGCTTTTCAGCAACCGGTATACGGTCCCTTCATCTGGAGATCCGGGTATCGGCTTAATGTAGATGGGGCGATCAATAGGTGCATGGAGATAAGCATCGATTACGTAACCGTGAAGAACTTTGCAGCTCCACTGGGCGCCAAGCGTGATTGAAAATTACGCACTTGTCATTTTTAAGACCGAAGAATATGTCTCGCTGAAGTCCCCATTATATCGCTGAGAAAATTATCTTGCTACAAGGCGAGCCTTGAATATGTCAAGCTCATCTAGCGAGTTGTTTTTAATTTTGAAGACCCATCTTGTAAAGACCACCTCGGACTCGGGTGAGGAAACATATTCCTTCTATGTACCAATCGTACATAATTGATCCAGCTCTCGAATCATAGCTTCCTGTAGCTGTGGCTCGAATGAGCTAGTCAATGCTTCACGAATACTTTGAGGATCTGGAACGCCATCAGAAATGTGAGTTGCAGGCATTGCTGCTTTAGGAACACTGGTGCTGTCACCAAAAATGGACGCAGTTAAACCAAAGTCTTCAAAAAAAGCTTTGTCGCCGCAATTGTGAACACCAATCACACTGTCAATTTGGCGCTTGGTGAGTGTGATGTTGTCGATTGGGTCACTTATTCCGTAGTCACACTCGTTGACACTACTTATGTCGTCGCTCATCGGATCAGTTGTTGATGTTTGTGCTGATGGTATCAGCTCGCTATTGGTACTAAAGTCGTCGGTGAAGAGGTCCGTAGTACTGGGTACTTGCTTCGATGGCTCCTCCTTAACTGTGACGGGCACAATAGCGGTAGGAGTGGCATTGGCTTGATGTAAGTTAATCCGGGCGTGGAGATAAGTGGGGATTTTCGTAGTATTGAGCGCGTCGAATTTATCGATGAGGTCACGAGCAGTGGTTTGATCAATGCAGTCAACATTTTTAATGTTGAATCTCGTTAGATAATTCCTGGTGCGAGGAAGGTATAGATTGTAGACATTGTTGACTGCGTCGGTGCCAAGAATAAAAGCCTCTTCAGATCGTTTTCGAAGTGACTTTGCGACGCCATGTTGTAGTTCCATAGTGCAGGGGGTACCAAACTTAAGCAAGTGGCTGACGTTAAGTACTTTTCCCGTCAATACTTCAAGAGCTGAGCGAAAATCTGTATAACCGCGGATGGGTGTGTTATTTCGCATAGTACTAGAGTACATCAGAGCGTATTCCCGAAACCTATTGTGCATACCAGATTACCAGAGCATCACGCGGGTAATGCTGAAAAGCGTGCGATGAAAACGCTATACTTCGCCGTTTGAAACAAAAGTATACTTTTCATTTGTCTGTTGTATGATGCCATGGTGTCGCAAATATTGCGTAGTATTGTCATTCACAAATTCTCCACCGGGATCCGATCTAATGCATTTCACGCGGATGCCAAATTTGAGTTGAAACCTTGCGTGAAACTTGACGAAATTGTTAAGCTTCACTCTTTTCCTTTTGTAAAAAGACAAATTTATAGCCAGATGCGTAGTCGACAATTGTGAGCACGTGCTTGTGTCCTTTGTGATCGACTGGAGAGATATTTATATTGAGGTAAATGCCTATGACGGCACCAATCTCATCCGTTGGGGGCGATCTAGTTTATACCGTCCCTTGGTATATGTCGACTAAAAGAGTGGTTAGATTTCGGCTGCAGCTTGGATGAAGGCGTCTTAGTAGCTGTTGCTGAAGCCGCAGATGCCTTAATCACATTCGATTTTACGTCAATCGGTCTCCGTCTGGTGCTTATCGCCTTGCGACCATCACCCAATAGCTTCGTGAGCAGTGCAAAGGCTTTGCTTATTTCTTTGTTGATGTAATCAGTGTTGTAGTTGAAAATTCTGGCGAGCTGGAGCCTTACGCCTGGGTCCGAAGATGCATCATTTAAAATACCTTGAGAATGAAGGCGTTTCGGTCACCGCCTATCTCTTTACCAACGTGGCGTAGATAGGTCCAGTATCCATGCCACATCTGTTCTGGTCTCATTGGTTTACTAGAGCAGTCACTGAGGTGTGTTTGTGATAACTTGCATCGGAATCTGCTCGCAAGGCTGATTTTAGTTATCGGTACGTCGGTATGCGGCCATGTGCGTCAAGAAACTCGTCGAGAAATCGAAAATAATAATCGGACACGGGGCCATCGATAAACGTGACACGGAACGTGTTACGAAACGCTTCAATTTAAGTAAAGTTGTTGCGTTGGCTATCACTTTGTTTTGCTTGTGCAAACTTCCGCATGAATATATCAAAACCAGCACTAAGACGAGGGTGATTATCCTTGTCGGTAAACATCTCACGCTTGACTTTCTCGATGCGAGATACCGTGTGGGATGGTATCATCACTTGTGTCAGTGGTATTGGTACAGTGGTAGTACTAGGGAC